CCCATTAACCTTATCATTTATTTTCTTGCCCCCCAAAAAAGCACAATGATGTAAACTGGCAGTATTGTTCCAGTCCTAATACCTCACTACAGCTTACATCTTTTCTTTTCACCCTTTCTCTTGAGCCAGATTTAGGCTTCATGAAAAAACACCTCTGCAAGAAAAGCAGGACTGTTGAGGAGACAGGCAGGAGAGTTATCATATAAACTTTCCATTTTATTTACAGTTCAGGAGCCTTGCAGAATGACACACACTTATGGTCTGGGATCACTAGCAATTATTGTAAAGGTGAAAGGAGATACTGCAAATTTAACAAGCCTTTTGTATGAACTAATTGCATTAGAATACATTAGTAAGGGTGCACATTGTAAGTTTTATGTTTCATTGGAAAGGTCATCCTAGATTCTGGTTGAATAGTGAAAGAGAGGAAACCATATTAGCAGTGTATCCAGCAAGTGTCTCCAGGATGAATTCCCTTCAGGTCATTTGCATTATTTGATTGTAGCTGAATAGTTCTCCCTCTGCTAAGCAAGTAAGGGAAGACCTACGGTGACAATAGGGGGAAGTTCAAAGTCTTTGAGCCTTATTAGAAGGCTCATTTTCTGCACTCATTTTCATGCGCTCGTTTCCCAGAACTAGGCTGGCAGCTGTATAATCAGGACAGCAAGTTTACATGCCTCCTGTAGAGTACGAACCTCTCAGGGAAAGCTACTGTTAGTTTTCAGGAGGCAGGAGGGTTCCTGCTTCTTCAGAGGTGTGACACCCCATTGTACCACAACACAAAGACTCCCCTGCTGGTCTCTCCGCAAGTGAATGTGCCTGTCACCTGAGCCAGGGCACGCCAGGAGAATATCTGTCAGCAGGGGTTACCCAGGACCCCCTCCAGGCTCTGCTGCAGCCACCTCAGGTGACTCCAAACACTGTGCTGGGCACACTCACTACACCACTTCCATCAGCCCATGGGGTTCCAGTGGCTTTGCAAGCCCTGTGGTGGTGGCTGCACTGAAGAGGCTGCAGAGGGCACAGGAAGGGTAGCAGCAGCAAAGCCAGTGTTCGAGGAAGGGAAGCAGGGAGGATCCTGAAGGATATGAAAGGGTGGGGGAGCTGGGCCCATCGAGGCACAGAGTTTTGGTTCACAGGGAAAACTCCTCTCCCCAGTCAAGCAGAACTTGAGGGTAACTACCTGCCAGGGCTGTCTCATCCAGTGGCTGCAGCAAGGGGACTGAATGTCAGCCAGAGAAGGGAAGAGACTGTGTCTATCCAGACAGCTAGGAGCTTTGTTGATCTGACAGTATAAAGTCTTCAGTATGTTCCATGATCTTCAGAAGAGTGTCTGGTTTCTACCAGTTTTACTGACCCATGGGCTTAAACCAGCCCTCCAGAAAACCTCACCATGTAAGAAACAGGAGTTTGATTGCGTTAGGCTAAGCAGTGCCATCAAGGATAGAAGAGAAGCTAAGTGGATGTTTCCAATGACTCTCCACTTCCCCAGACTTCACTCTATCGTGTAAGTACCACAGACCCCTTTGGGAAGGTGTAGTGGCATTTATGCTGTCACCAGCCAACTTTGCTCTGAAAGGAAGGGGCTTCCACCCATCTGCCACCCCCAGAATATGTAAAAGAGAGCAGCATATGGTTTTGACAAAATAAAAGGTCCCAGTATCTCAGCTTGGTAAAGCTATTGACTTACTGTCTGACCTCTAGCAAGACACGTGCCCTCTATCTGCCCCACTCCGGCTGGCTGCAAGACAAGCAGAAGTGACTCTAGTGCAGAGATGCTGAATTTGAGTTTAGCTCATCAAAGCCACAGCAGCTGGTCACCCCTTTGATGCTGACAAGCTACATCAAGGCTCATTTCAGCCAGCTCATAGTAGCTGGGCCTTCTCCTCCCACAAATCCAAACTGGCTATGAGGCTCCCAGCAGCTTTCCAAGCCCATGAAGAAGAAGAAAGCAAAACGATAATGCAACTGCTGCAAGGATGAGATGGGATCTGCTGGGACCGTTTGCACCTCTTCCCTCAGCTCCATAGCCCAGTCCTCCAGCTGCTGCAACCACACTGGCTCATTGCAGCTGCTAGGACTGCATGTTCAGTCCTTGCCTATAGCGCCTTTATACAAATGCAACTACAACCAAGGGAGGGAATCAATCCACTCTGTAATGTATGTCACCTCTGGCAAGGTTAAAACTTCAGTTCAGCAAAGCCCTTGTGCTAAGTCCCCTTGATCCTGGGGACTCGTCCTGTGCCACAGCACTGTGGTCAATAACACACCAGGTAGGAGAGCTCTCAGCATACAGAGGATGATTAAGCCTCCTTGGGAACCAGAGGCACCCCAGGCTTCAAGTACCAAGACATCAAAATCTTAACATAGAAATAGTAAATATCATCCACCCTTCATTAAAGCTGTGTATCAGCCCAAAAAATATTTTTTACATACTCTACATTAAAACTATCATACTTCAAATCTTAGTGTCCCATAATTTGCATATTGAATTCCAGGGAGATTATTTGATGGAGAGTATGCCATAGCTCCTGCATGTATGCAGTATATCCAAAGGACATGGCAGTCTAGCATAACATCAGATAAGTCCTAATAATAGCCATAAAGACCATTTTAAATATTTTAAAATATAATCTGAAATAAAAATGAAGTGTGAAATGTCTGTATTAATAATATTATCATCAGCCATTATTAAAGTCAAAGACTTGAGTTTTCATCACAGTTACAGTCCCATTAATGGCTTTATCCTGACAAATGAGCTGAAGATCTCTATTTTCCCCAGTTAACATTTTGGTCCACTTCATCATTTCTTTTCATTGGGAACCAAACGCTTCAAGTGCTACAGGTAGAGTGAAAATCTCAACACCACGGGGTCCCTTGGACAAATGCCTGGAAGCTACCCCTGGTCCTTCTTGGTACCACTGAATCAGGTGCAGACCTCACCCCCCATGCTCTGGATTCATTTTCTTGTCCCCCATCATACAGAATACACACATCTTTTCATTGTCCTCCACACCCAAGTTTCCTGATAAATAAATAACCATAAAACATGAAACAAAGATATAGATGGAACTTGAAAAATACTATTTAAGCACCTTCCTCCAATGTGACCAGTGCCTGCCGCCTCCCTTACCCCTTTCTTTTGCTGTATTTACTGTGCCTCTCTTTGATTGTGGTGTTTCTCTCCAGTTCAGTAGGAAAGGAAGGAATGGGACAGTGCTCCTGATTTACAATATATCTCATCTGGATGAGGAAAGGAGGATTCATTCTGAAGGTACACATGTTAAATATTAATTGTATCTATGTCTTTACACAGTAACAAAGTAAATATACAATTTTTAACAATGTGTTTTGAAAGGTCATGAAAATATATTAAAACACATCAAATCAATAATAAGAACTTAAAGCTACTCTCAGAAAACCCTAAATGGCTACATATACGAATTATAACCATCAGAAAAAACTTCATATCAAATCATTTCTCACTTCAGTATCCTCTCATGATCTGATGGAAAGATTTTTCTGCTGTGGAAGGAAATTATTTGTTTGTGATATCAGTATAATACTGATAGTTATATTGATTCATGTTAGACTATAGACTGGTGAAGTTTTTAAAGCCTTAGCATTGCACAGCTGATGAAAACCTCTCACTGGAGCTTTTGCCTGGGCAAGGTGCACATCAGGGTCCCCCAAGTGGTGTATATTTTGCCAGATTGTGTTTAATCAAGTCATGTAATGATTACTGTAGATTAAGAGGAAGTGCTTATATTGCTTTAAATTGTCTTGACTTATTGAAATAGTTTTACTGATACATCAAAATCTTGAGCTTCCTTGAACTTCTGTACAACTCTGTTTCTCATATTCTTCTCATGTTCTTAGGAATGCAAATTTCAACACAATTTGGCCAAATTCAAACTCAGAACCTGCTTTTAACTGGTACTCCATAAGAGCCTTGGTTGAATCTTCCTGTTCATGCCAGTCACCTTTGGAACAGTCCATAGAATCATAGAATCACAGAATAGTTGGGCTTGGAAAGGACTTTAAGATCATCTAGTTCCAACCCCTCTGCCATGGGCAGGGACACCTCACACTAAACCATAGCACCCAAGGCTCTGTCCAACCTGGCCTTGAACACCACCAGGGATGAAGCATTCACAACCTCCCTGGGCAACCCATTCCAGTGCCTCACCACCCTCATAGTAAAGAACTTCTTCCTTATATCCAATCTAAACTTCCCCTGTTTAAGTTTTAACCCGTTACCCCTTGTCCTATCACTACAGTCCTTAATGAAGAGTCCCTCCCCAGCACCCTTACAGGCCCCCTTCAGATACTGGAAGGCTGCTATGAGGTCTCCACGCAGCCTTCTTTTCTCCAGGCTGAACTTTCTCAGCCTGTCTTCATATGGGAGATGCTCCAGTCACCTGATTATCCTTGTCGCCCTCCTCTGGACTTGTTCCAGCAGTTCCATGTTGTTTTTATTTTGAATCAATCATAGATTCATAAAATCACAGAATCATAGAATTGTTAGAGGTCAGAAGAGACCTTTAAAGGTCATCTAGACCATGTGGCTCCCACCTAAATTTCAAAATGTATCAATTGCTAAGTCCAGTTTATTTGAGTAAATACAATATTCTTGGTTAACACAAGTACCTTGCACAGGATGCTTCCAAAGGCAGCACATACATAGAGATTGTCTCCCTTATATAAAGGAAAAATTCTGTGGGATTTCCATTTGCAAAACCTCCCTGACTTTCCTATAACTTCCTACAGTACCAGTACAGCAACACGTTTCTTGGGAAGATCTCATAGCCCTCATGCCCCAAAGCTCACAAACCCCAGGGGTTGAACATGTCTTGCAGGCTCTCTCTAAAAGTGAATCGCTTTAACCTCAAAATTCATAAACCGAAAAGGCAACCCCATGGGTACTCCCTTCTTTGAAGCGTTAGAGGCTTGGTTTGTATTAAAAAAAAAGAAAAATCCTTAAAATTAAAAAAAAAAAAAAAAAAATCCTTAAAATCTAGAAGTTTAACAGAATAGAAACACTGTTTCAGGTGATGGATCATGTAAGGTGATTACTGAAGTCTCGCAGACTGTAAAATAGGATAACACAACGTATCTTCATTTTTTTCCTCTACCAAACACTGCAGTATCAGCCACTGTAGTCCTAAATTTAGCCAAACACCGCAATTATCAGATGTATTCAGTTGCAAAAGCTTTTGTCATTTTTGTGGTTGCCTGATGGTATACGGTTCGATCATAAAAGGGCAAATGACAGGCGGGTGTAAGAAATGAATTTTCTTCTTCTTACTGACATAGCAGGAGAAAGCCCCCTGCTGTAATATGGAAAATCTTTTATGCAAAAGAGCACAGCAACTTACAGTGCACAATCATTATGCAGATTTTTGTTTAGGTATTTTTTTCCCATTTCAGTTAAGGAAAGGGGAAAAAAAAGACGGCCTTAAAATCAAGTTTAAAAGTTCAAAACTGATTTTAGCATTAGGGTATATTTATAGGTTTAAGGGAATAGCAATTAAAATGCAATAAAGCTCTATCTAAGTATTCACATGCCCTCTTTAAATGATGCTGTTTCTCTGATGATCTTGAGGCCATTGGAGTGAATATTTTTTCACACATAGCTGAAGCAAGGTGAGAGTTAGAGAGGGGTGCTGACTCCAGCAAGAAGCAGGCAGGGCCATCCTATGTTGTGTCCACTAGAAAAACAAAGAAAAGCCTGTACGTACATTTTAGGTACGCATTTAGTATTTATACTGCTATTTCTGAGCACTATCCAAACATAAAACTGTATAGAAAAATCAACCTTCCTGCAGGATTGAAGTCAAACTGCCTTTGGCATAAATAATTCTCCTTTCCACAAGGGCGACTTTAACCCCTTCTGGTAACAAGCAAAGGTCTTAAATAAAGGGCAAATTTACACCAAGATCCTGGTGTAAAGTGGTCTTACTGCAAATAAGCATCACTCAGATTATCTACAGTGCATTCAAATGAAAACAGGAATGGCGTAAACATTTATTATTCACTAAAAGATACAGGAAACCTGCCCTTTGGCCCATATACACTGCAGGTAGGCAGGTCTCACTGGAGGGAGGGAGCAGCTTTGGCTGGCTAAAAGATGTGTGGTGGCAGAGCCTCCACCAGAGCCTCCACCAGAGCCCTAACACCACCCCCCCACAATTTCCACAGGTGCAACTGCCTCCCAGGACTTCCTCTGATACTCCCACTGGACGTGGCATGTATCCAGCTCCATAACAGAGAGGTATTTAGAGGCTGTGAAGAAGTGCAATCTCCACCAGGACCATTAATCATTGTCCAAATACTCTCAGGAGGAGAGCACTCAACAGAAGACGGGGGGGGGGGGGGGGGGGGGGGGGGGGGGGGGTTGTTCCTTCTGAGAAAACCTGAGAGATGGGAAAGGGATTCCCTCCTTCTTCTTCCCATCACTCCCATGACTCAAAACTGTTGATGGAAAAGAAGATGGGATGAGGTGGGATTCTTTTTCTGGGATTTCTAAAGTCCATGACTCTTCAGCTAAAGGGAAAATGGCCAAAAAACCTTCAAGGTAAGCATATCATTGCAAAGCCTCATAGACATAGCAGTGCCTCACACTCCCCCAGGGGCTGCTCTCACAGACCATAGAATCCTAGAATCATAGAATAGTTAGGGTTGGAAAGGACCTTACGGTCACCATGGTCTCTCAAGGAGCTTCACGGGGTCTGTCCTTTTCACAGTGCAGCTGCAAAACAGGAGAATACAGAGTAATGAGGGAAATAAAAGCTTTACATCCCTAAAATACACTTCCCATAAGGCATCGGCATAGTATTTCCAGATCAAATGCAGGGTCACTTTCAGTTTGTTAAAACGGCTTCAATTTTAACAAACAAGAAAAAAAAAAAAAAAAAGAAGTTGGGGTTTTTCACTAGTCATCTATTTATGTATTTATGTGACAATTTTCTCCAGGAAAAGCATATATATAAATTGCTTTAAAAAATCTGTTAAGTTAGGAATCCCCATTTCTACTGAAAAACTGTCTCAATGGAAAATCTCTCTGAATTACTCATAGAAAACTGAATAAATCCCAACAGCAAGGCATGCTATGAAGAAATATTTAGTTCCTTCAGAAAAAAATAACCCCTTCAATAACCAATGGCTAAAATTCAGCAGAACTGGTCCCAGCAAGTGCGAAGTAGCTATTGATTTCAATGAACCACTTCAATTTACCCCAGGTGAAGTTCTGCCCCACTGAGCTCAGGGAAACAAAATGTCACCTTTACTTTCTAAACACTCTTTCTCAAATCATATTCAGCTTGTAATAATGTGCAGAGAGTGTTTAGCTCAACATGCCTCTTACAGTTTCTGTTTGGGAGATGATTTTTCTTTTTAATTTCTCTGTCAGGCACACTTATTGAAGCGCACACGCTTCAGACAGATGCGATCTGCAAAAAAGGTATGAAAGACAGTGATTTATTTATGAAATTCCTGGTTGAGAGGATGAGGTAAGCCACACGACAATTTTAAAGCTGCTCACTACTGTAAGGCATATATGTAATATATGTAAAACATGAGGAGGGGAAGCATTGAGAATATTTGGTCACACTGCCTGCACAGGGTAGAAAAGCAATGGGGGAAAAGGGGCTGTAAGGTGGGGAAAAGGCTGTAAGGACAAGCTATGTTCTGCCTTTAAATTCACTTTTCTATCTCAGGGCCAGCAGTATTTATCATATGAGGTTTATACATAGGTCAAGTTTTTGGGTTTGAGTGTTTTATACTATGTAGTATAAACCTGAAGCTCTGCTCTGGCAGCAGAACACAAATTCACTGAATAAGAAGTCCCTGGACTGAAGCATTTTGCTTCTAACTAGACTCCTGTCCATGCCAAAATCTTTCGCTCCAAGTAAGAGGCGCTCTAAATTGCAGATGACTCCTGCCAAACCGGGCACGCTGCAGTCCCAGGACTGCCGACACTCACTGCAGACACCTTTGGTTGCATGAGTTCAGTGCCCACCTGTGCCAGCAACCCCTCCACCTGAATGTGCTCTCCCTCCACACGGCGGCTGGACCTGGCACTGCAGAAGGTGAAAGGGCCAGCAGATATGTTCCAGCAATGCCACCCTGCAGCATTTTAAGAGGGATTTCTCTCAATCCATCTCCTGCTGTTGAATGCCCCTAATGCCTCCTAACATCTGGCTCCTCTGGGAAAAGGCAGCAGGAGCATGCTCCCTTTCCATGCCACTCCATCGTATCAACAGAGACTGCCTATAACCACTGGAATAAAGTAGTTGGAGGTCATCAATGTGGAGAGGAAAAGCACCAGTTTCATGGAGGTTGCAGCTAACAGGTTCAACAAAGCAACCTGACTGATGGGAGAGAGAAAGATGCAGGGAAAAGCAGCAGGAGCTGGTGCTGAAGTGACTCACCCTGGATGGTAGAGTCAGCCAGAAATATTTCCAAACATCTTTAAAAGCCATATTTATAGAAAAGAGATATTTAAAGTATTTATTGGTCCTGTACGTAGCCTTGAGTGGGTAGCAATTTTTGCAGGCCTTTCAGCTGCAATGACATTGAGAGGGAATTGTAGAGGTAAGGTGGTAACGTGTGAACTAGCTGGTTCAGAAAGGACAGCCCATGCACAGGGACAGGATCATGAGACTGCTGATGCTGGCAAAGCTGGAGTCACTACAGTAAGGTACAACAGCAATCACAAAGAGATTGAAGCTGACCTAAATCTCACTAAGCAGGAGAGAAAAGTTGTGTTCAATACGGTGGAGAGTGGGGCTTTGGTGAAGAGATTCAAGATGTGAGCTAAAAACTAAACATGATGTCAGCCACCAGCCAAAAAGATGATCCTAACAGTAGTAGCTGGGATACATTGCCAAAGGCAGAGGTCACCATCACCACACAGGGGCCAAAAAAACTATGTTCATTTTAAAATTAGGTTTTGCTTCACTGTCTTCCTGGCACATACTATAGAAAGGAACATCAAACCCCAAGGGTAAAACAGCAAACCCATTCACACAGGGCAACGGTTCTGGGATAAAGCAGAGTTGGAAGTGGAAAGATTGGGCCAAAAATTACCAAAACAAACAGTCTGACACTGCAAGAGACAAGCCCTTGAGTTATCCAGTCTAGTTCCAGTGGTGGTGAGCAAGGCTCCCTCTGCCTTTAAAAAGGAAGAGAAGGAACTTAGGAGGCTGCCTGTATCTTCCCAGCAGTAAAAGGGGTTAGAAAAGGAGTTCTCACCAACAGTGTAAGAGCTATTGCTGGCAAGATGAGGAACTACTTAAACCACATTTGTTGTGTCTTACCTTTCTCCCCACGTGGTGGGAAAGTTAGATGGAGGGCAAGGTGAGGAGATGGCAGGTGTTGAGAGCTGTTGTGTGGATGTATATAAGAAAAGATGCCATTAGTCAAGACAGTAGATGAAAAGAGTTCTGGCAGTGCCCACAGGGTAAATCTGAAAAGGAAGATATGGCAAATGTTGGAGAAAGCCCCAGGGTGGTGAGGCCAGGGGTGGAAAGGAGATGATGAAAGAGGCACGGAGAGATACCAGATGTAAAAGATAACAACCCAGTACAATTTTGCCAAGAATAAATGCTTCTGAGCCATCACTTTGAATTTACATGTCCACCCTCCACTAGTAAAACCATTAGACAGACAAGAATTAAGAGAGAAATCACTCGCCTGCAAACAGCTTGCCGAAGACATGACATTCCTGAAGAAAAATGTACACACTCGTAAGCAGCTTACAAGAGCGAGCTATCTTACCCAGCTCACCCCCCACGAGCACTATTAAATCCACGAGAATCAGAACAAGGAAATTGTCAGGGAGAGGCTGCGATTAGCCAGGGTCTCGGCTAGAAAAATAGTTTATGAATTGTCATAAAAATTTAAAGCTCAGCCTCACATTAGCTGCTGCAGTGTCTCTGCTCCCACCTACAGTACAGTTCGTCTCTCTATCTTCATCACTGACTGCGCCAGTACAAGGGGGAAATGTTCTGAATGTTTCCCCAAAATTAAATGCTGAAACAGCATATCATTATTTTTGATATTCAAATCTATTATTAATAAGCTATACACTACAAAAAGATTCTGAACATGAGTGATACATCTCATAATTCTGACCTATTAACAGAAGTACGTGAGTCTCCGTGGACCAAAAGAACAGTTGTTAGAAAAGAAGAATCTCTTACTCAAATCAAAATAACATGACAGTTCCATGAAAGATTTCAAAATAAAAGTTAATAAGTTAATGGATTCATTTTACTGCTCCTAAGACACAGACAGTGTAGAACAGTCAGTCATCTCCTTATTAAATAATATGAATCAACGACTCCATCATGTTTGTATTAAGCAACAGGCAATAATAATGTGCTCCCTGACAGAGTATTAGGGTGAGCATGCCAGTAAGAGGACAAGGCTAAAGCACACTCTTAATTTTCTTTGGAGCCAGTGAGCACATACTTAAAAGTCTGGCTTATACCTAAGTATTACTCTGAATGAAGGGGCAGAGGCATTGCCACAGCTGAGGGCCACCATTTAAGCCAGCAAAACCTTTCTGCTTTGCAATCACTTCTAATCCTTGTGGTTTGGGTGAGACTCATCCCTCCAGCTGAATTGTCACCCACCATGCAGCAGAGTGCTGGGAGTACCCTGCACCTTTTCTCTTGGCCACCGCTGAGGGAGCCCAGGCGAGCGGCTTGAACTGGGTTGCTGACTTTTCAGTGGTGAAAATGAGGGGAGAGAAACACCACGCTCAACCTGTGCTGGAGGAAAATGTTTTGGAAAACTTTGATAAAAAAAGGATGTTTTTTCCAGTGTGGGGAGAGTAAAAATAAAATGACATTTCCTTGATACAAAAATAATTCTTCTGGCTTCTTTCATGTGCTGTAGCCCAGAAATATTCCAGGGGAGAGAGGAGGGACTCGGGAAGAAGATTGCCTTTAGGGAATGATGGAGTGACTTTCCTCAGCCCCATGGAAGTCCTGTTCGGTTTTGCCTGAATTATGTGGTTTGATAATCAAAGTCTATATATGCACAGGAGTTCTTTTAATAAGAACAAGGGGTAACAAAAAATGTTCCGTTTGAAAGTGGGCTGCATTGTACAGGCATAAGGGACTTCATTGCCTACTCAGAATAGATAGATGTGGGGGTTTTGATGTAGGAAATCAGGTGGTGAAAGGAGTGGAAACAAACGACTTGTGGTTCCTGTCATTTAAGCATGAAAGGGGCATGTGAAGAGGCATTGATTTCAGCCACACTAGGCTGAAGGGTAAGGACTATTCATACAAGTAAGGCTTTGGAGGACTGGGCTTGTAAACTGCAGCCGCTTAAACAAAAGTCTGGGGCACCTGTTTCAAGAGTCCCTAAGTCTGGTTTCTTCAAGGGCCTTCCCCTCTTAAGTCAGTGAGGATCTATCTACCCCTTCCAGAAGAGCTTTGCTTTATAGAGAGTCTTTGCCTAGGATAACAGGGGGAGGGATGAGGGAGGCAGTCTGCTGATGGGACTGTGGCCAAGCAGGACCTCTGCAGGCTGCTACCGCAGAGCTTGCTGTACCAGTGCGGGTGGCATACAGGGGCCCCCACATTTTTCATTCCCTCAGGCACTTTTGAAACTGTTGCCTTAAGCCTGCAGCAAGCTTTCAGCAGGGGTCTCTTAGGCTTTCAGCAGTTTCTAACTGTATTTATGTGCTTTATCCCTTGAGTAGGATAAACAGGTTAGCAATTAACTTTAGCTTCCTGACCTCTAGCTGGATAACCAGATCTCTAATTATATTTTCAGTGGCAGTGAATCTCAAGAGTTGTGTGACACTATCTGAAAGTTCCCATTCCTGTGTAGCATCTGCAGCTTTATGTGGAAATTGGCAGCCAGGAATGTATTGGCAAAACAGAAAGGCATTTTTCCCCCTCCCTGGTACTTCTGCCTCCTCAGCACTTCCAAACCTCCCACACTGTTGCTTGGAAAATACTTACCCTGGTAGGTGATTCCTCATACACCAGAGAGTTCACATTGAGAAGCAAAAGATTCTGAGAAATATTTTATTCAAAAATCCCTTTTATTTAATAGGATCCTTGTGGTAGGGAATATTCACAGGAGTTGAGAAACTGCAGCCAGTGATAAGCCGCATTTCCTTTAGAATTTGTTTTCAATACATTGTTTCTCAATAGAGCACTACATTGGGAGAGACTGTGGTTTTATTTCTTTGTACAGCTACAGAATCATTATTTATGGAGAAAAAACAAATGTACCACTTACTGTAGGAACATAAGTGACCTTTGGAAAGGTGATATAGTTGGAGAGACAACTCTGGAACTGGCAGGGCACATCTCAAAAACAGAGTATCTCGATGGCCTAACGCCAGAAGCTAACAGTGACAAAGCAGAGCAATTTGGAAAATCAGCTTGCTGTCATCCTGTATGCATGTAACTCTTGAAATAAAACAGTGATCTAATATAAAGGAAGTATATGGATTTACTCTGACATCAATGCCAAGCATCCATTCTAAGCAAGTGCCACACACATCCTTGTTTTAAAAGGAGTAAAATACACAGCAAATTAGCAATGCTCCCATCTCCAGAATGAGTGGTCTTTGCACTGATTTTTTCTATATGGTTTCCCGCTATCTGCACAGAAAATGCATGTCTGTGACTGACCCCACTTCATTACCCATATGAATTATCTTCTGTGAGGATGGCTCACTCCCCCCCCCCCACATTAGGATGGGGGAAGAGAATCAGAAGAGTAAAATTGAGAAAGCTTATGCTGCTGAGATAAAGACAGTTTAATAGGTAAAGCAGCAGTCATACACGCAAAGGAAAACAAGGAATTCATTCACCGGTTCCCATGGGCAGGCTGGTGTTCAGCCATCTCCAGGAAAGCAGAGCTCCATCACATGCAACAGTTACTTGGGAAGACAAACAGCATCACTCCGAATGTCCCTCCCTTCCTCCACGTTCCCCCAGCTTTATATGTGAGCATGACACTGTATGATTGGGATATCCCTTTGGTCAGTTGGGGTCAGGTGTCCTGGCTGTGTCCCCTCACAACTCCTTGTGCACCCGCAGCCACTCACTGGTGGGGTAGTGTGAGGAGCAGAAAAGGCCTTGACCCTGTTTAAGCATTGCTCAGCAATAACTAAAACATCCCTGTGTTGCCAACACTGTTTCCAGCACAAATCCAAAATGCAGCCCCAGACCAGACATCCCACTCCTGGGAGTCTGCCCTGTTTTCATGTGTGGCAGAGGTTAGAAAGGCTGAATTCTGCAACTATCTGACCAACTGCAATTACCTTTTCTGCTGTAAAGCAAAGTGATCTGTCTAAAGCAAAGTGATCAAACTAAAAGTGATCTATTCTGAGATTAAAGCTAGCAACGAAAAGTGGTGCTCATCCATTGACATAATCCAAAGGTGCCATCACACATAATCATACTTTTAATGTATAATAAAACAATACTTCATACATTTATGGAGTGGAATAAAACCAATCTATTACCAGTGCCTTTTAGTTTGGTTTAGTTTGTTCAAGAAATGATGACTTAATAAGGGTTAGGGTTAGGGTTAGAAAGCATGCAGGTCTGCATGCTTTAGAAAGCATTAGAAAGCATGCAGGTCTGAATTAGAAGTGTGAAACTGAATTTATGAAATAACCTTGGCAGTAAATAATAGCACTCCTCAAACCAGGACTCATCACACACCTGTGTGGTAGGGGATGGCAGTCAGCTTCATCACACTTAGAGTATCAATCACTCCCAGGATGCAAATTCTGTGAGATACAGAAAGATTACTTTACATAACCTGCAGAAAGTAGTTGGATCAATGCCATAAAAGCTTCAGCACAGCATTGTACAGCCTACAAGTGTCCTTAAGAGCACACCTTTTTCATTATTTTACATATGAACAGAAGTATGGCAAGTAGACCAAAGTACTAACTCTTAGCTGTGGACATACTAGGCTTCAATCAAAGATTAATTCAAAGCTTTCAGTAATGAGTGTTGACTCTTCTGGTCGGAAGTATCTCCTTACTCCAAAGCAGAAGCAAAACTCCCATGGCCTTCATTAAGGGTGGTCTTAGACCGTATGCATATTTTTCTGCTCTGCTTCTTTCTGACAACCACTGGCATTCCTGAGTGGTGCCCAAAGGAAGCTCAGACAGTACGACACACAGCTACATCCATGTGAGTTTACCATCCTAGCTGGAACTGCTGCTCTGGAAGTGTCCCCTAGGGAGAGAGATGACTTCCTGAACTGCAGCCCTACATAGACCTGCCCCTGTCTGTTCCTGCATGAGCACCCAAAGGAAATATCTGTATTTCCAAGCAGCCCAGCACCCAGTAGCTAAGCTGTTCTGAAAATTCAGCCCGTGGCTGAGGTATATATGTAAAAGTCAAATTCTCTTAAAACATCTGTCCCAAAAGGCTGGCCAAACCCTTCTGAACCCATGTCCTCAATGGCCATGCTGGGTGCTGGAGCAGGGGGAGCCAGCCTGGACACCCACTACCTCATGTGGTCAGTGTGGCAGGCAGACAGGCAACCAGGCCCTTTGCTGTGGAATTAAAACACTGCAGCCAGAAGGACACAGACTGGCTTATTTATTTTTTTCTACTACATGATATGATACTTAGGTTCCATTTACTGTACATACAGTCTCCTATTTACTCTGTTACTTGGTAAAACTGCGTTTCACAGTAAACCCCTGTTTCATGTATATTGCAAGTGATTTCTGACACCTGGATACCTTAGAAAAAAAGATGCATGAATATGCGTACGAAAAAAAATGGAGATCTCTTTTTCATTCTCTTGTTTTTTACTGTCAACAAAGAAGTATAAACGCATATACATAAAAACATAAATCTTAAAATGCATTTTATATGCTTTTTATATATTAAATAGAACTGTTTACTTTCAGTTTCTTATTTTATTCCTTTTGAAAAGAGATTAATATATAAAAAAGTTTTTAAATAAGGCATTTCACTGCCACTTCTTTTCTGTTGTACTATTTATCACTGCTTTGAGACTGCAGAAAAGAAAAAGGATGCAAATGGCACTTTATTCCATAAGTCTTTGGTCAGATTCAGCTGCCTTCCATGCTGATCAGATTTCCTTTTTTTAATTTTGGCAAGGTTTAGCTATAACCCATCTTCATATTAGACTTTGCAATATAATCCTTGTTATCTGAGCCCATTTCCACCTGTCATCACACAGGTTTTAATTTTTCTTTTCTTGTTATTTTTTTATTATTTTTTTTACTTCTTTTTTCAGGAAGGGCAAGATTCACAGATATAATCCCCACCCTAACTGATGTATTAATCATCAGGATAAAAGATGATAAATTTGGGCTGCCTGCATAAACAAAGTGAACTGTTTCTTATTTTAGAGGGGTATCTTTTTACTGAAAGCAAAAACATTGGAAACAGTTAAAATGTTATGCTTACCGGTGGCTTCCTATTAGCTCTTTATAACTTCAAACCATAAACAGCATACTGAAGAGTTACTGGAGAGGAACAAGAGCTCTTTCAACACGAGAGCAGTCAGATACAGGCAGCAGTTCTGCAAAGCCTGTGAGGGGGCACAGGGCTGGAAAGCTGGGGAGATTCAGGTGCTGCAGTCAGATCCAGAGCTAACTGAAGTCTGCTGGCCTCAGCATAATACAAGTGGAAGTCTCAATTCACTAAAAAATACCCTTACAGACACGCTTAATTCAGGGCACATCCGGTCACTGGCGTCACCCGCCTGCTGGAAATAAGGCACATGTCTAAATCCTGAGAGGAGTCTCGTACCCATTGCTATTTCCATTGGGGCTGGGGGCTGGGGGAGGACATGAGGGCTGCGAACCAGAGCGCAACAGCAACATTCATAACAGCCTTCATTCCTCTGCAATAATTCCTCTTCCTATGTTTTACAGAGCAGTCATTTAATATTTGTTTCAAGATAATTAATTTTGGAAATGCTCTTCATTAAAATTGAACAGAATGTCATGTGTTCTGCATGCACCACAGGAGCCCAGGTAACCTGGGTCTTATGCTGTGCAAAGATGGAGGTAGAGGAGCTATAGATAGGATGGAGAGCATGCAGATTTGTAAGATTGTTTTTAAAATGGGAATGAACTGACAAACCTAATTTTCCTTGGCGCAGCGATGGCTCACGTCTACTCAAGAATTAGTAGATAAAAAAGTGTTGCATATTCAGTGTGGAACCGAGACTTCTGCCTTTGCAGCGTCATTACTGAAGATTACGAAGCATATAAGGCCAGAAAAATAATAAACCCCTGTTTCCAAGAGTTACTCTCACTCTGTTCACCTCTTTGGAGCTTGACTGCAGTGACTGAGAAGGAGGAAGAAAACAGCAGTCAAACCAAGGCTCTGGCTATAAGGCTGCTACAGCTGCTCTGTGCCCATTTGCACAGACAAGCTGGGCCATGGGAAACTTCTGCAGCCTCTTCCAGCAACAGCATGTCTTGATGGGCCAGGAAGGTCAGGGTGAGCACCAGCCATCATGACAAGGAACAATACAACTTTAACTGGTGTCTGTGGCTTATCACTGAAAAGTTTTAGGGCATCTGGTGAGGATAACTCCATGTTGCATTGCATAATGCCATTCAACTCAACGCTGCACTGCATAATGCTGTTCTCTGTTTTCCCCAACAAAATAAAAAGGTGATGGCTTCTTTCACTTCCAGCCAGAAGAAAGAGCGTAATGAGCTTGTGCTCCAGCAAATAAGAGGTCAGATTTCCTTTCCTGGTGAGGGCTAATTTTCAATGACAAATGAAGTGTTCCACCCACATTATGAGGGAGGCTTTGGGATGAAAATAATGCACACACAATGTGTGGTTATTATCTGTCATTGCCATGTGCAACTAAAACCTTTTAAAAAGCATTTGGTCTTTTGATCAAACTCTTCACAAGGGATCACTCAAATTTGGATGTCCAGTCCTAGTCAGCTGGGGCCAGATACGTGATCACACAAGCACATTTTAATTTATGTAGAGAAACTTAATTCTGGCATGCTGTAACTTTTGAAGGCTCAATTATTCAACCTTCATACCCCTCAGACAGATGGAATTCAGGAGGAGGAGAACTTTATTACTTGTTTTAAAATAAATGTATCACTGGGTAGAAGAATTAAGTCTTCCACTCACAATTAGCTCTGTGGAACCATTTCTTACTTGAAATAATGGCAGTAACAGGCTGTTATCTTCTAAGTGACACTCACCAGAAGTGTGTGGCAGCATGTCCAAGGCTAGCGCATCCACTGCTACTTGAAAGTCAGAACACAAGAGCTGAGAGACAACAGTCTTGGATCCTGCCCCTTGGATCCCCCCATTCAGCATCATATTCTGTCCTACTTCAGGCCCTGATGCTTCCCTCATTCTCTTAATCTCATCCAACTCCTGCTCTGCTTTCCCCTTTCTCCTCTTTTCTTGTCTGAACCTGCATCCTCCCTCTGTCTTTCTGCACTTCTGGGAGTTTCCTCCTCTCCATATTCCAGAGGCATTCCAGAAGACAAAAAACATAAGATCACAAGAGAGTGACCACTACTGGCAATTCCCCCACCCAGAAACGCAGAAACTTAAAGTCACCATAAAGAGAGGTTGCAGGGAAAACCTCCCCAACCCACTCACTTGGGATCTCTTTCTCCTTCTACAATCTAATCATGACAGGGTAAGGAGAGAGGGTGGAGCATGTTAAATGTATACGGAGCCTGCAAGGACTGTATCTGGCCCAGCCTCAACAAGCAGCTGTAAAGTGGCATTTTCAGAAATATCAGAGCTTGGTTAAAGGCACTTCCTTGTCCTAGAGAATGCCGAGTTTCTGTACCAAAGCATATTGTGCCAGATCTTCCCAATGAAGTAATTGTGGTATTTTTTTTTAGGATGTTCAAATATATCATTTTCCCCTAATTTCATTCACTAAAATGACTGAACCACAAAACTGTTTCCAGAGTAGTTTGCCGGGAGTCAAGGACTAGCTGAAAAAGAAAGCTCTTTCGTTGTTGTAATCTTGGCAAAGCTATAAACAATACTGCCAGTCCCAAGCATTAAGAAACTACAAATCAGGCCATGCACAAGAAGCCCCATAGATCAGCTGTAAAACTGTTTTTCAAATAGTAGTAGAAGCAGGCACCTGCAGTTGAGGTGGTTATCTTTCTCATTGCATTCACAAGGCTTCCCTTTCAAACTTTGCAACTTTGAAAACAAGATGCTTTTTTGTTTGAAATGAAAGATAGGCTGCTTATATTTTCACTTGTCTCCTGGATCTTGATCTGGATGAAAACATCAAGCACTGAAACACTCGAATCAAGACAGATGGCAAAACTACATAAGCAGAAGGAAGCAGAATCTTATGGTGAAAAGCATCAGGGAGCCTATCTATAGATGATAGCACCAGTGTGTCCATCATACTCCTTATTTCTCTCATAATAAAATTGCAGCCAATTAATCCTGACTCTGTGGTTAGTTACATGTTCCTTTCCACCACTTTGGATAAGATTACATAAGTGGTGATTTAGGGGTATCAGTACTCAGTATAGCAAGAATAGGTTCAACTTCTTGCCCTGATCTTCTTCCTATCCTGCAGCGTGTCTGTTTTCTTACCTAAAGCTACAATAAGAAAACGTTATAACATTTCTAAATGGCAGATCCCCTAAAAAAGTCCCAGTGAAGTCTATAGTGGTGGGCATAAACACAGGGATCAAACTGAGCCAGCAGCTTACATGAGATGGGTCACACCTTTTTGGGGTCAGGCTCTGCAGAGATGCATGCAGCAGCAAGCGCACCTTTGTGCAACTCCAAGCATGCCAGGGGCTCGCTGGCAGCTCCAGCTGCAGTGGAGACAAGAAGCATACCCTGTCTGCCATGTTTGCAAGAAAGGATGCTGAGAAGCTTACCAGACAAGCAGCTTCCATCGATGCCACACCTGGCTGCCCTGGGGAGCAGGGTGAAACTCTATGGAAGAGGGACCGCAAAGGGATGTCTCCTGAAAATACTCCTCTCCAGTCCCATCCTTCCTCTTCTACGGGGTCATCACACTAGCTGCTATAGCTGCTTTTGCATCTGCTCTTTCCCCAGAAAGTGAACCTATGCATAACATAGTATGTGGTGACTTGATATCTAGAGGATTTGTTAAGAGAAGAATAGACATGAAAAAGACAATTAAACAGACACTTGTTCCTGCACTCCTATATTCCTGCAGCTTCCAGAAGAGTTTCCTGAATATGTACCTAATCCCTTCCCTGCCCACTTTCTAAAAGGCACACTAACTTTGACAACTGCAAGACAAGGATATTCCTAATGCACCCAAAACTTCCCGGGGCATATATTGGATGGAATTGATATCACAGGCAGCAAGATATGGGGCAGTAGTCCGATAGTAATAAACCAAGCTATATGGGCATAGAGATGGAAAGAGAGATGCAAAATGTACAGGGCAAGAATCCCAAATCTTCTTTTTTTAAAGAAGGGGAACATTTCAAAGCAAGTATCGGGCGCCTGTTGTTACATGCTAAAGGGGAAATCTTCCCACCAGATCCACAGGGCAGGTCTGAGATAAGCAGCTGGAACGATAAGTTATCTCAGTTGTGATTCAGGAAATGTAGATGCTTCAGAAGCTAATGGTGTGTCAGCAGGGAAACAGACACACAGTGGACTGGGGTTAAGTAAGCCTGGGAAGGTGTTTATTCATGTATAACATTTGCAGAGAAGGTGACTCCCTACCTCGTTCCTGGCTGCCCAGAGAAGCTGCTTATAACCGAAAATATGCTTGGTGAAGCCAAGTGGAAAGGTCAGGGGGCCGATCCCAACCATGACACCCCTCCTGTCAGAGCTGGTACTCCCTGTCACAGTATACATCCCAGGAAGGACAGAGGCTCATCCACCTGTGCCTGCTGGCCACTGCACCTCAGCATAACCCAGCCAGGCTCCTGCCGCAGCACTGGCAGAGGGGACCACTGCCAGCCTTCAGAGAGCACAATGTGCTGCAGCTCAGAATTAGAGGTCACTTGCGCATCCTTCTGCATCGGGCTGGATCAACTGTAGCTGAACCATTCCCAGCAGACACTTGTCCAATCTATTTTCAAAATCCTCCCACTGCCATTCTAGGCAATCTATTCTTGTGCTTTGCAACTGAAAGTTAGAAATCTGTTCTTAATGTCTAGTCTAAATCATAAGTCAACTTTAAAAATGACAAGTACAGTTAAAAGTTTCAGGATTTTCCTAATAATAAATGTGGTTTTCATTTCATTTCTCTGTTGGTTGCTGCACATTCAGGGTAGTTTCAAATCACTTTTTAAAGCATCCCTCTAGAATCATGATATATAGAAATGATATTTTTTATTTTTCACAAGAGCCGAGATTGTCATTTAATTACATAAATCCAGGAGTAGGAGATTTAAGGGGGAAAAAAATGGTGATAAAGTCCTGTGAGAGATGCCAACACTTAATATAGCTGTAGAAGGCTTTTTTTTTTAATCCGTATGCCTCACAGACCCATTGCCCAAAAATGTTCTGAAGTGACGGCAAAGTCAAGCAGAAAAGACATCTCACCCATAACTAATAGAGGAAAGTATCTCAGGTGTGGGAAATATGTATTCCTATGTATGTGCATACATATTCCTTCATTTACCTCTCATCAAAATCCACTTTAACTATCCCAATCATGTGAACACTGCCTTTCAGCAGACATTTCACAAGATACCATTCAAATGAGTTAATAGCAAGAGAAGCAGTTTCCTCCTGCCTCGCCAAAGGTGAACCCATATGAAACCACCACTTCGTTCTGGTGCTTGAATCCAAAACTATTATTCAAAAGTAACTGGACTCACTCTCTGCTTCAAGGTTTTTAAAAGAGCAGCCTTGGCTTGCTTACCAACCCCAATGCAAATGCAGAAGCTCAACGAAAACACCAACAGGATCTTTTACGTCACAGAACTAGATATGAAGGAAAACTACAGTGCCACAACTTTCTAGATACATATGGCTGGGCACTGAATTATCCCTGGAGAGCACCACATTCAAAACTTACATCCTCAAAGCTTGTTATTTATCACTGGAAATGCCTAGCTTTTTAACTAAGGCATCACATTAATTTTGCTCAACTTTAGCATCCTCGGTGTAGTCAGCTGTATCTGAGTTACTTACCCTAGGCACTGCGTTCCATCCCAGAGCAGACACAGCAGATGAGCTGTGTCTCCTGATGACTGAAAATGGTCCCTGCATTGCAGACATCTCAAGTTAGGTGACACGATCCTCACCCTCGCTGCCTGCATCCTGCTCTCCAAAATCACCCGGGAAAGAGAAGAGAAGAGAACAATTCTTGATAAGAGAAGAGAAACTGCCATTGCTCACCATTTTTTATTAGCAGGCTGAGGCCAGCCAGCATGCCCCTCCAGAGGTGCCCACTTACCACAATTGTAATTACGATAACTTGGAGTGCTGTTACAGACTGAGGATTCCCTTGGAAATGCAGGTATCTCAAAATTAGGCATTGTAACCCTGAGCTTCAGCCTCCTTCTAGGTGTCTCACCTAAAGTGTTGTTCTGGTGTCTTTTCTGTACCCTCAGCAAACACATGGGAGGGAAGGGGGCTTATGGTTATCCTAAGCAATTTAATTATCATTTTTACCACATCACATCTAACATCTAGCATGCAGATACCATCTTTGTATGCCTCTGAATAAATAAATGTATATATGTATATTTTTATATATGTAGCAAGTGCCTTTTTTGTTTAGGAACATAATAGCAAATTACATTAAAATCAAAAATCACTATGATCTTGTCTTCTGCAGGCTAACCTAAGAAAATAAATATGGTCCAATGCAAGGTCCAAGAGACTTACAGTTCTCTTACTTACTCCACCTGAAGCCAGTCCCTCTCAATCTGTTCTCCACTCCTTGGACTTCTCTCTTTGCTCCACCGCAGATGAAAATTCTGCCTGTGCCTGCTTTCCCACCATGTCCCAACCCTTTCTTTATGGCTCAAGAAGTCTGAGACTCCTTTACCCAGCCAGTCCTAGGTACTCCAGCTCTCCACACAGCTTCTCACTTACTTGGAGTGCCCTCATTAAGCTTTCCTTTTCTTTCAGACAGCGGGATCCTCCTCCCAACCCTCAGACCCAGGTGCCTTCTTCACCCAGCTCTAATTTCTTTGCCAAACCATTACTACTCCACTTTTCTCATTTTCAGCTCTCACTCCTAACCTGAAGGCCAAGTCATAGTTTCTCTCCCCTTCCAACTTCCAGAGGGGAACCAAAATCTGTGCCTCCATGCTCTCCTTTTTTCACGCTATCCCTTCCCCTCCACCTCTGTGCCAGGGAGTTCTGCGGTCTGGCCCACATGCTTGCCAATAACAAGTCTCCCCGGAAGCAGCACAGAGCAGGTGGGAAGGGAAGGGGCAGCCTGTGCATTTCCAGCAGCACAGCACTCAGTTACTGAGGGTGCCTGCATGCATTCAGAAAAGTGAGCAAATTAAGGTTTTGCAGGGAGAGAAGAACCTTCAAATACGTCTGTTGCTGCTTTGCTGCATACATACAACCTGGGCTTTTTCCAGACCTTTTTGACTTGACTTGACTGGCATAACTGCTTTTCTTTGCATCCTGGAAGTTGAATGCCATGATCTTTGTTCTCACTGCTAAAGATCTGGGTAACAACAGAAAATTTTGCCCTTGTTCATATAATCTAGAAACATTATAATCAGTATTTCTTTCCATAGAAATATCAGGCAGCTACAACAAGAGGTAGCTCTTCCATTCCCACCTGTAATGACCAGGATGCGTTTAGATTGGAAGCAAAGAAAAGAGTGATGTTTTCATCTCCTACTTCTTTTTTTCAGCAGCCATGAACATGGACGTCTTCCAAAGCAATATGTGAACACTGGATGTTGACCAGACTTTTGTGGATGTTTACTAAAGAAATACGTTGGTTTAGTGTAAAAAGTGGCTAAAACAAAAAGGAAGAAATGAAATATCAGGGTAGGAGCACAAGAAGCCCTGCAAGAAACATCTGAGATCTAGTAGAAGCCACTAATGCCCCCAAATTGCTCTTGAGTAGTTCAGTCTAACCATGATGCACCACCCCAAGAGGTTTGAACAGTCAACACCAAAACTCTGGAGCAGAAGGACTTACTCAAAGACCCTTCTGGCTGCATAAAGACCTTCTCTTTTGAAAGTAGAGCAGGTTGTTGTGAAGCCAAGGAGGAGAAAGCAAACTGACACGGGGTCCCCCAAGATTATCAGTCCCAAATGCAAAAGTTACTGTCAGCTCGAAAATGCTTTCCTGACATGCTGAAGACAAAAATCATGCATTGCCAACCACCCTCACCACACATCCCAAAACGTGCCATATGGCTGAAAGTACTACAACTGATTTTGCCATTCCTTGGGTTCTGGTGTGAATTGACAATGAGTCTAACATATAAATTACATCATCTTTTAACTTTTTGTGATGTATAACATTGGACAGCTTTGTCTGGGACAATCCATCATGAACTAGTCTTGTTGACATTTTGGATTCTCTCTTCTGACCTTGTCCTTTCAGCACAGGCATAATTGTGCTTATGATAATTTTATTCCCAGTTAGGCAGTGATTTTGCACACCTTTGAGTTACAGCATCACTAAGAAGCCAGTTCTCTGTATGACTGCTGAAACAAGGCACCTTGAACCAATTTATGCTGAAGCGCAGTCCGGTGGCGTAGCAGTAAATAAAAGTGGGTAAACTCACCTCTCTCAGTGCGCATAAGTAGGTTAACTCCTTTAGTTGTGTTTACTGTTGACTATACCACAGGTGCAATCTCAGCTGGGGGCTCCCTACTGAGGAAACACCAACCATATGTTTGCACAGCAGACAACAGTGAAGAGAGGGGAGTTGTACAAGCCAGTCATCATGATATGAAGGGTCTAGCAGGCACAGGGGAGGGATGCAGGCTCCTTTCTACCACCCAGCTCACGTGCAGAGAACCTCCCATTTCAGCCACTTTTGGGAATCATCACTAATTTGTCCATACTTACATGCCACCATGCAGTTTTAGGGATTTATTTTTAGGTATGTAACGTGTTAGCAATCATCTAGGGTGATGGGCAAATCTCTTTTCTTGAAGAATCGACTGTTCGGTGTCACTTTAGTAGGAATATACAATTATTATGGGACATGAATTATTTGAGCTGTTCCCTGCAAAGACTGATTGCCTTTCATGGGCTGTGTGTGGGAGCAGCAGAGAAATCCCTGCTGCTCTAACCAGTGTCAGCACCCCCAGACAGTCAAGCATTGCTGCAGAAGTGCACCATCATTTCACTGTAGCAGTGCTAGAGCCGAGGTTCCTGCCCACCCTGCTCTTGAAATAAGAGTGATTGAGCTTGTTTCAAAGCACCAATTTGCATGAATATGAGAAAATGTGCCGGACTGCTTATATTTAAAATTAAACTTTGAGCTATCACTCATCACAGCAAAGGGACATCCCACCACATCCACGTTTGCATTTTCAGGGAAGAAACAGTCATGTCAGCTGCAGCCTCCTTTCAATACAAAACTTCTAGACCATTTATTAGGTTATTGTAATGAATAGGCTGTTACAGTCCCAGTGGGATAACTGGGTAACTAGCCAAGTGCAGGTGTATTTTAGTTGAAGACCACAACTTCACAACATCACCCACTCACTTCTGCCCTCTTCAACACATTTTTCAGCTGATGGGAGGAGATGGAAGGACAGACATAGAGTTTGACCAGGGGAAAAAGTAACCTCCTACAGAAACAGTTGCTGTAAAGCTGGAAGGAGTGACGAGCAGCAGTTCTGCAAGCTGCTATGGCTTTTTGCCGCTTGCCACAATATTCTTTTGTGTTGTTTCTGGATCTGCTTTCTTTACATGTGTTTTTCAACTGTTTCTGGCTGGAGGTTGTTGCTGGAGTGTGGATATGTTGCTGGAGATGTTATTCAAGTTCACAGGCTGCCTGTGTGTTACGAACTTCCACTGCCCTCGGCACTCCTACCCCCGTCAATCTGACTTTATTTGCCATCAAATGTAAAATAAAAGGTGTCTGTTTTTTTAAAGTAAAAGGTATCTGGGTTTTATCAGATATCCTAGTTCCCTGGGGTGATTTGGTTTTAGCATTGGTCTGGCCATGTGGCCTAGGCTTTGTACCTGAAGGAGAGGCGCTTCTGGAGCTCAGGGATGTAGCCCAAGAACAAGACAATTTCCTCTTATCTCCTCCACAGCCTCCTCACCTACTCAGTTTCTGGAAGCTGTTACTTCACATAGCATTAAACGTGAATGGTTATCAATGCAGTCCAGAAAGTGAGCAAGAGACTCTAATAGACAAGACATGATTATCTAATTTTTGTTTTAGACAAATGCTGAAGCTCAGGGAGGAGCAGTAACATCGCAATAACAGAAACTGAGTTTCAGTTGAAAAAGCAATTATCTGGTACTATGGGATGAAGTGAGAACAAGGTAACACCTTATGATGTTATGATTCCTCTTCTCAGCTTTCTAGCAGTTTTGACTTTGTGTTTAACTGTGAAGCCACCAAAGGCCACCCCAGCTCCATTGCTGTCCTCCTTCTTCCCAAAACAGCCTCTGAATAGTAATGCTGGGTGTAATGCTGGCTTCCTTGGACTTTTCTTCGGGAGCTTTCCTGGAGGCTCAGCACGAACACAGACCCGAGGAAAGACCATCAAGATGCCTTCAGTATCCCACTACCAAGCCCGGGATGCTGCCTGCCCCACTGTCTGGCAGCCCACAGCATCCTCCATCCCACGGGTGCACATCCACGCACCCCGCTCCCGCAGACTCCCTGCACATGCTCCCACCTGTCCTTCTTTTTTTTTTTGCTTGTTTTCCTTTTTTTTTTTTTTTTTATTTATTTTTCCTCTGCAGAAAGTCGAGGTTAGAACCCTGAAACCCGAAGCCCTGAAACCGAGCTGCCTGGCCCCGCCGGTGGCACGGCCCCGCCACACACACCCGTGGCCGCTCCGTGGCCCGGGCGCCATCAGGATGAGGGAGGGATGAGGGGGGAGAAGGGGGTGTTGGAAGAGCGCAAGCATGTGGCGCTGCGTGGGGTGCCAGTGTGGGTTATGCGTGGCTGACCGCGGATCTGGAGGAGTGGAGGAGGAAGGGGAGGGGGGTGATTCTCACCAATTTCCTCACGGGCAGGAACGCGCGTGTCTGCGTGGGGGAACCGCTGAGGTTTCCTTCTTGAGAGAAGCAATTAAACGCGAATTAGCTTCTCCCGTGCAGCGGGAGCAGAGACCTGCTCCGGTGTCCCTACCCTCCGTCAGGGGCAGCCCGTGGGTCAGCGGGGGGACCCAGGCCCCGCGTGGGAGCAAACCCCGGGCCGGGCGAGGCGCTCCTTCATCCCGCACCCGCGCACCATCCGCGCTCTCCCGCCCCGACCGAGGAGGTGGGTGAGAGGCATCCAAGTTAAAGAAGAGGATGCCCGGAACCGTTTCCCGGCCCCACCGCCAGCCCCCAGCGAGCCCCGAGGAGCGGGACCGACGTGGAGCGCTCGGTGCGGCCGGTGACCGAACAAGCCCGGTCTCCCCAGTCTGCATTTTAATCCTGAAATCTGGAAATGGAAATTGTTTGATGTATGAGGAGACGTTATCTAATTAGGGCGTAAGAAATTTAATCTTTCCAGCAGGCAGGTCATATAATTAATGTTAATTTAACGCTCAAATTCTCAGTCATTAATTTTTATTCTCTTAAATGTAGTTTGGCAGGGCCCCCTGATCCATGGCAATGGATTTTACTGAATGTAAGAGCACACTTGGTCTTTGGAGTGAATTACTGCAGCCCTTCCTATCCCAATAACAAGATCACATCATGTATGCATTATTAAGCCATGTAATTGAATGGTCCATAGTTTGCATATCAGACTATTAAAGTAATGTGTTTTGCTTTTCTTCCAACACGTAACGTTAAAGCCTCTGCGAATATTTGGTGATTCTGATAATTATCACCAAATTACTACAAATGTTCTCTTCATTAACGTGATTTCTCTCAAGCATTTTTTAAAAAATGTGAATAATGCATTAAGTGGTGTCTTGTAAAGTGTTTTTTTAAATAAAACTTGTCAACTACAATTCGAAAATGAGACCCAAAAGAGAGAGAGAAGAAGGGAGGGAGAATTAACAGTTGCATGGGAAGAGAACAATTCTCCTCTAAGATTGGAAGAGACGGCTCGCCTTTTCTACCTATTTCAGATAACCGACTCTACACCTTTAAAGTTTCACTTCATCGGGAGCAAAAGTGCATGCAATCTAAAGAACTGTCGATTCCAGATGATACAGAACAAATGGAGAAACAAAGTTGGAGCTTTTCCCTTTACAGGGAATAGATGGGGACTGAGGCAGACAGACAGAGAGATTGATTTGAAAAGAT